GCCCCCTTGTGTCCATATATGGACACGTGCACGCCCACCAAGGGGCGGTTTAAGGGCAGGCCACGCCCTTAGTGTCCATATAAGGACATGTGCACGTCCACCAAGGGGCTTCCGTCTCCATAGCGACAGGCCACGCCCCCTTGTGTCCATATATGGACATGTGCACGCCCCTTGTGTCCATATAAGGACATGTGCACACCCCCAAGGGGTCGTTTAAGGGCAGGCCACGCCCCTTGTGTCCATATAAGGACATGTGCACGCCCCAAGGAGTAGTTTATGGGCAGGCCACTCCCTTCATGTCTATATAAGGACAGGCCCTGCCCACAGAGTGCATCTAAGGTCAAGCCCCGCCTCCAGCGCCCATATAAACCCAGGCCCCGCCCCCCCCCCCAAAATAAGGACAAGCCCCGCCCCCAAAACGGATTCAAGGCCTGACCCCGCCTCCAGAGGCCATTTAAGGACAGGCCCCGCCCCCTTGTGTCCATATATGGATAAGCCCCGCCCCTCCACTTGGCAGCAGGGGTCATTTAGATCCCATTGGGGTCCCATTGAGGCACCCATTGACCCCCATCACCCCATGACCCCCATTGACTCTCATTGACCCCATTGCCCCCCATTGTCCCATAACCCCCATAACCCCCATTGACCCCCATTACCCCAATGACCCCCATTGACACCCATTGACCCCATTGACCCCCATCACCCCCATCGCCCCATTGACCCCCATTGCCCCCCATTACCCCATTGACCCCCATTACCCCATTGACCCCCATCGCCCCCATTGACCCCCATTACCCCATTGACCCCATCACCCCATTGCCCCCCATTACCCCATTACCCCCATTGAGCCCCATTGCCCCATTGCCCCCCATTGACCCCCATTACCCCATTGACCCCATCACCCCCATTGACCCCCATTGCCCCCCATAACCCCCATCACCCCATTGCCCCCATTACCCCATTGCCCCCCATTGCCCCCCATTACCCCATTCACCCCATTCCCCCCCATTGCCCCATTGCCCCCATTGCCCCATTGCCCCCCATTACCCCATTGCCCCCATTGCCCCATTGACCCCCATTACCCCATAACCCCCATAACCCCCATTGACCCCCATTACCCCATCGCTCCCCATTACCCCATTACCCCATTGCCCCCCATTGACCCCATTGTCCCCCATTACCTCATTGCCCCCCATCGCCCCCTATTGCCCCCCATTGCCCCCATTACCCCATTGACCCCCTTTACCCCATCGCCCCCATTGCCCCCATTGCCCCCCATCTCCCCATGGCCCCCCATTGACCCCATTGTCCCCCATTACCTCATTGCCCCACATTTACTCTCATTGACCCCCATCGCCCCCATTGCCCCATTGCCCCCATTGCCCCATTGCCCCCATTGACCCCCATTGACCCCCATTGACCCCCATCACCCCATTACCCCCCATTCCCCCCATTGACCCCATCACCCCATTGCCCCCATTGCCCCCCATTGCCCCATTGCCCCCCATTGCCCCCATTGACCCCTTAACCCCCATTACCCCATTGCCCCATTGCCCCCCATTGCCCCATAACCCCCATTGACCCCATTGACCCCATTACCCCATTGACCCCCATTGCCCCCATTCCCCCCATTGCCCCCCATTCCCCCCATTGCCCCCCATTGCCCCCCATTCCCCCCATTGCCCCATTGCCCCCCATTGCCCCCATTGCCCCCCAGAGGAGGAGGAGGTGGACAAGATGATGGAGCAGAAGCTGCGGGAGGAGCAGGAGCGGCGCCGGCGCAAGGAGCTCGAGGAACGCATGTCATTGGAGGAGACCCGCGAGCAGGTGGGCGGGGCATGCCCTTATATGGCCAGCCCAGGGCGGGGCTTCGCCTTATATGGGCAAAGAAAAGAGGGGGGGGGTTGCCCTTAGCGCTGCTCGGGGCTGTGACCCCGCCTCTCTTTAGGCCACGCCCCTTTGTCCTTTAGCCACGCCCCCTTCTCCTTTAGCCACGCCCCCTTCTTTAGCCACGCCCCTTTAGCCACGCCCCATCGTTGACTCCTCCCCCTTCCCATGCCTCTGGTTCTCTTTGCTTGGCCCTATGGGGAAACCCAAGCTCTGCCCCTTCCCCGGAGATGTGGGGCTCAGCCCCATAGGTGTGGGTCCTAGCCCCATAAGTGTGGCTCCCACCCCATAGATGTGGGTCCCAGCACCATAGAAGTGGGTCCCAGCCCCATAGATGTGGGTCCCAGCCCCATAGATGTGGGTCCCAGCCCCATAAGTGTGGCTCCCAGCCCCATAGATGTGGGTCCCAGTACCATAGAAGTGGGTCCCAGCCCCATAAGTGTGGCTCCCACCCCATAGATGTGGGTCCCAGCCCCATAGATGTGTCCCCCAGCCCCATAAGTGTAGCTCCCAGCCCCATAAGTGTGTCCCCCAGCCCCATAAGTGCGTCTCCCAGCCCCATAAGTGTGTCCCCCAGCCCCATAAGTGTGGCTCCCAGCCCCATAAGTGTGTCCCCCAGCCCCATAAGTGTGTCCCCCAGCCCCATAAGTGTGTCCCCCAGCCCCATAAGTGTGGCTCCCAGCCCCATAAGTGTGGCTCCCAGCCCCATAAGTGTGGCTCCCAGCCCCATAAGTGTGGCTCCCAGCCCCATAAGTGTGTCTCCCAGCCCCATAAGTGTGGCTCCCAGCCCCATAAGTGTGGCTCCCAGCCCCATAAGTGCGGCTCCCAGCCCCATAAGTGTGGCTCCCAGCCCCATAAGTGTGTCCCCCAGCCCCATAAGTGTGGCTCCCAGCCCCATAAGTGTGTCCCCCAGCCCCATAAGTGTGTCCCCCAGCCCCATAAGTGCGGCTCCCAGCCCCATAAGTGTGGCTCCCAGCCCCATAAGTGTGGCTCCCAGCCCCATAAGTGTGTCCCAGCCCCATAAGTGTGTCCCCCAGCCCCATAAGTGTGGCTCCCAGCCCCATAAGTGCGGCTCCCAGCCCCATAAGTGCGGCTCCCAGCCCCATAAGTGCGTCTCCCAGCCCCATAAGTGTGGCTCCCAGCCCCATAAGTGCGGCTCCCAGCCCCATAAGTGTGGGTCCCAGCCCCATAAGTGTGGGTCCCAGCCCCATAAGAGCTCCCAGCCCCATAAGTGTGCAGGTGCTCCCAGCCCCATAAGTGTGCAGCTCCCAGCCCCATAAGTGCGTCTCCCAGCCCCATAAGTGCCCCTGCCCCATTGCTCCCAGCCCCATTTCTATAGGGCCCAGCCCCATAAGTGTGGCTCCCAGCCCCATAAGTGTGTCCCCCAGCCCCATAAGTGCGTCTCCCAGCCCCATAAGTGTGGCTCCCAGCCCCATAAGTGTGGCTCCCAGCCCAGCCCCTCCCAGCCCCATAAGTGTCCCCCAGCCCCATAAGTGCCCCCCCAGCCCCATAAGTGCCCCATAACGTCCCCCAGCCCCATAAGTGTGTCCCCCAGCCCCATAAGTATAAGTGACACCCCCAGCCCCATAAGTGACCTTCTCCTGCCCCATAAGTGACACCCCCAGCCCCATAAGTGCCCTTCTCCTGCCCCATAAGTGACACTGCCAGCCCCATAAGTGACACCCCCAGCCCCATAAGTGCGTCTCCCAGCCCCTCCCAGCCCCATAAGTGTGGCTCCCAGCCCCATAACTGTGTCCCCCAGCCCCATAAGTGTGGGGCCCAGCCCCATTTCCCTCCATCAGCCCCATTTCTCTGGCTGCCAGCCCCATAGCTGTGTCCCCCAGCCCCATAAGTGTGGCCCCCAGCCCCATAAGTGACCCCGCCAGCCCCATAAGTGTGTCCCAGCCCCCCCCCAGCCCCATAAGTGACCTCCCAGCCCCATAAGTGCGGCCCCAGCCCCATAAGTGCCCCATAAGTGGTCTCCCAGCCCCATAAGTGTGTCCCCCAGCCCCATAAGTGTGGCTCCCAGCCCCATAAGTGTGTCTCCCAGCCCCATAAGTGTGAGTGTGGCCCCCAGCCCCATAAGTGCCCCCCCCAGCCCCATAAGTGTCTCCCAGCCCCATAAGTGCGCTCCCAGCCCCATAAGTCCCCCAGTGTCCTGGCTCCCAGCCCCATAAGTGTGTCCCCCAGCCCCATAAGTGTGGGTCCCAGCCCCATAAGTGTGTCCCCCAGCCCCATAAGTGTGGCTCCCAGCCCCATAAGTGCGTCTCCCAGCCCCATAAGTGTGTCTCCCAGCCCCATAAGTGCGTCTCCCAGCCCCATAAGTGTGGCTCCCAGCCCCATAAGTGCGTCTCCCAGCCCCATAAGTGTGGCTCCCAGCCCCATAAGTGTGTCTCCCAGCCCCATAATCCCCCCCCCCAGCCCCATAAGTGTGGCTCCCAGCCCCATAAGTGTGGCTCCCAGCCCCATAAGTGTGTCTCCCAGCCCCATAAGTGTGGCTCCCAGCCCCATAAGTGCGTCTCCCAGCCCCATTTCTCTCCCTCGCAGCCCCATTTCTCTGGCTGCCAGCCCCATAGCTGTGTCCCCCAGCCCCATAAGTGTGTCCCCCAGCCCCCCAAGTGTGGGTCCCAGCCCCAGAGCTCCCCCTTGCAGGTGCAGAAGCTGCAGGCCCGCCTGGGGGCGCTGCAGGGGTGGGGCAAAGGGGGGTTAAAGGGGGTGGGGGAAAAGGGGGTGGGGAAGGGGGGGGGTGGGGAGGGGCTTAAAGGGGGGGGTTAAGGGGGTGGGGTTAAAGGGGGTGGGGTTAGGGGGGTGGGGTTAAAGGGGGTGGGGTTAAAGAGGGTGGGGCTTAAAAGGGGGTGGGGTTAAAGGGGGTGGGGTTAAAAGGGGGTGGGGCTTAAAGGGGTGGGGTTAAAGGGGGGTGGGGTTAAAAGGGGGTGGGGTTAAAAGGGGGTGGGGTTAAAGGGGGTGGGGTTTAAAAGGGGGTGGGGTTAAAAGGGGGTGGGGTTAAAGGGGGTGGGGTTAAAAGGGGGTGGGGTTAAAGGGGGTGGGGTTAAAAGGGGTGGGGCTAAAAGGGGGTGGGGCTAAAAGGGTGTGGGGTTAAAGGGGGTGGGGTTAAGGGGGGTGGGGTTAAAGGGGGTGGGGTTAAAAGGGGGGTGGGGGTGGGGTTAAAAGGGGGGTGGGGGCTAAAAGGGGGTGGGGTTAAAAGGGGGTGGGGCTAGGGGTGGGGTTAAAGGGGGTGGGGTTAAAGGGGGTGGGGTTAAAAGGGGGTGGGGCTAAAGGGGGTGGGGCTAAAGGGGGTGGGGTTAAAGGGGGTGGGGTGGGGTTAAAAGGGGGTGGGGTTTAAAAGGGGGTGGGGCTTAAAGGGGGTGGGGTTAAAGGGGGTGGGGACTAAGGGGGTGTGGGGCTAAAAGGGGGTGGGGTTTAAAAGGGGGTGGGGCTTGGAGGGGGAGGAGCTGAATGGTGAGGTCGGGGGGGAAGAGGGCGGGGCTTAAATGGGGTGGGGCTAAAAGGGAGTGGGGTTTAAAAGGGGGTGGGGCTAAAAGGGGCTGTGGGTTAAAGGGGGTGGGGTTAAAAGGGGGTGGGGCTAAAAGGGGGTGGGGCTAAAAGGGGGTGGAGTTTGGAGGGGGTGGAGCTGAATGTTGAGGTCTGAAGGGGGTGGGGTTTAAAGGGCGGGTGGACGGACAAAGGGGGTGGAGCTTAAAGGGGCGTGGTTTAAATGGGTGGGGTAGAAATGAGGGGAGGGGCCTGAAGATGGGGCCCTAAGGGGGTGGAGCTTAAAGGGGGTGGAGCCTGAAGGGGGAGGAGCCTGAAAGGGGAGGCCTGAAGGGGGTGGGGCTTAAAGGGGTGGAGCCTGAAGGGGGAGGAGCTTAAAGGAGTTAAAGGGGCGGGGCCTAAAGGGGGTGGGAGGAGCCTATGGGGGGCGGAGCCTATAGGGGGCGGGGCCTAAATGGGAGGTGGGGTGGGGGGGGGGGCACTGATGGGGGGGTCTCTGTTTGGCCCCGCCCCCATCCTCGGAGGCTCCGCCCCCTCGCGTGACCACGCCCCCTTTCCCCACAGTGACCTCACGACGCTCACAGCGGCCGCCTACCAATCAGGGCTGCCCGTGCACGGGACCCACATCCTCAACATGCAGAGTAGGGGCTATGGGGCTCTATGGGGTCTCTATGGGTCTCTATGGGGCTCTATGGGGCTCTATCGGGCTCTATGGGGCTCTATGGGGCTCTATGGGGGCTCTCTGGGGCTCTATGGGGCTCTATGGGGCTCTATGGGGCTCTGTGGGGCTCTATGGGGCTCTATGGGGCTCTATGGGGGCTCTATGGGGCTCTATGGGGCTCTATGGGGCTCTATGGGGCTCTATGGGGCTCTGTGGGGCTCTATGGGGGCTGTGGGGCTCTATGGGGTCTCTATGGGGCTCTATGGGGCTCTATGGGGCTCTATGGGGGCTCTATGGGGCTCTATGGGGCTCTATGGGGCTCTATGGGGCTCTATGGGGCTCTATGGGGCTCTATGGGGTCTCTATGGGGCTCTATGGGGGCTCTATGGGGCTCTATGGGGTCTCTATGGGGCTCTGTGGGGCTCTATGGGGGCTCTATGGGGCTCTATGGGGCTCTATGGGGTCTCTATGGGTCTCTATGGGGCTCTATGGGGTCTCTATGGGTCTCTATGGGGTCTCTATGGGGTCTCTGGGGCTCTATGGGGCTCTATGGGGTCTCTATGGGTCTCTATGGGGTCTCTATGGGTCTCTATGGGTCTCTATGGGGCTCTATGGGTCTCTATGGGGCTCTATGGGGCTCTATGGGTCTCTCTATGGGGTCTCTATGGGTCTCTATGGGTCTCTATGGGGTCTCTATGGGTCTCTATGGGTCTCTATGGGGTCTCTATGGGTCTCTATGGGTCTCTATGGGGTCTCTATGGGTCTCTATGGGTCGCTATGGGTCGCTATGGGGTCTCTATGGGTCTCTATGGGTCGCTATGGGGTCTCTATGGGTCTCTATGGGTCGCTATGGATCTCTATGGATCTCTATGGGTCTCTATGGGGCTCTATGGGGTTTCTATGGGTCTCTATGGGTCTCTATGGGTCGCTATGGGGCAGCTCTCCCCACAGGCAGCCCCGGGGGTCACAGCCGCGCCGGGACCCTGATGGCCGCTGACCGGGCCAAGCAGATGTTCGGGCCCCCCGTGATCACCGTGAGTGGGGCTGGGGCTGGGGGGCGCTATGGGGCTGCCCCATAGATGTGGGGCTGGGGGGGCGCTATGGGGCTGCCCCATAGATGTGGGGCTAGGGGGTGCTATGGGGCTGCCCCATAGATGTGGGGCTGGGGGAGTGCTATGAGGCTGCCCCATAGATGTGGGTCTGGGGGTTGCTATGGGGCTGCCCCATAGATGTGGGGCTGGGGTGGGTGCTATGGGGCTGCCCCATAGATGTGGGGCTGGGGGGCGCTATGGGGCTGCCCCATAGATGTGGGGCTGGGGGGGCTGCCCCATATGGGGCTGCCCCATAGATGTGGGGCTGGGGGGTGCATGGGGCTGCCCCATAGATGTGGGGCTAGGGGGAGCTATGGTGCTGCCCCATAGATATGGGGCTGGGGTGGAGGGGTGCTATGGGGCTGCCCCATAGATGCCCTGGGGCTGGGGGTGGGGCTATGGAGCTGCCCCATAGATGTGGGGCTAGGGGGTGCTATGGGGCTGCCCCATAGATGTGGGGCTAGGGGTTGCTATGGGGCTGCCCCATAGATGTGGGGATGGGGAGGAGGGGTGCTATGGGGCTGCCCCATAGATGTGGGGCTAGATGTGGGGCTGCTATGGGGCTGCCCCATAGATGTGGGGCTAGGGGTTGCTATGGGGCTGCCCCATAGATGTGGGTCTGGGGGTTGCTATGGGGCTGCCCCATAGATGTGGGTCTGGGGGGTGCTATGGGGCTGCCCCATAGATGTGGGGCTGGGGGGGCGCTATGGGGCTGCCCCATAGATGTGGGGCTAGGGGTTGCTATGGGGCTGCCCCATAGATGTGGGGCTAGGGGGTGCTATGGGGCTGCCCCATAGATGTGGGGCTGGGGTGGGGCTATGGAGCTGCCCCATAGATGTGGGGCTGCCCCATAGATGTGGGGCTGGGGGTTGCTATGGAGCTGCCCCATAGATGTGGGGCTGCCCCATAGATGTGGGGCTGGGGGGTGCTATGGGGCTGCCCCATAGATGTGGGGCTGGGGTGGGCGCTATGGGGCTGCCCCATAGATGTGGGGCTGGGGTGGGCGCTATGGGGCTGCCCCATAGATGTGGGGCTGGGGGGGCGCTATGGCTGCCCCTGCCCCATAGATGTGGGGCTGGGCCCCATAGATGGGGCTGCCCCATAGATGTGGGGCTGGAGGGGTTAGATGGGGCTGCCCCATAGATGGGGCTGCCCCATAGAGATGTGGGGCTGCCCCATAGATGTGGGGCCCTGGGATGTGGGTCTGGGGGCTGAGCTATGGGGCTGCCCCATAGATGTGGGGCTGCCCCATAGATGTGGGGCTGGGCGCTATGGATCTGCCCCATGCCCCATAGATGGGGCTGCCCCATAGATGTGGGGCTGGAGGGGGCGCTAGAGGGCTGCCCCATAGATGTGGGGCTGGGGCCCTGCCCCATAGATGTGGGGCTGCCCCATAGATGGGGGTCTGGGGGGGTTGCTATGGGGCTGTCCCATAGATGTGGGGCTGGGGGGTGCTATGGGGCTGCCCCATAGATGTGGGGCTGGGGTGGGCGCTATGGAGCTGCCCCATAGATGTGGGGCTGCCCCATAGATGTGGGTCTGGGGGGGCGCTATGGGGCTGGGGGGCGCTATGGGGCTGCCCCATAGATGTGGGGCTGGGGGGCGCTATGGGGCTGCCCCATAGATGTGGGGCTGGGGGTTGCTATGGGGCTGCCCCATAGATGTGGGGCTGGGGGGGCGCTATGGGGCTGCCCCATAGATGTGGGTCTGGAGGGGGCGCTATGGGGCTGCCCCATAGATGTGGGGCTGGGGTGGGCGCTATGGGGCTGCCCCATAGATGTGGGGCTGGGGTGGGTGCTATGGGGCTGCCCCATAGATGTGGGGCTGCCCCATAGATGTGGGGCTGGGGTGGGCGCTATGGGGCTGCCCCATAGATGTGGGGCTGCCCCATAGATGTGGGTCTGGAGGGGGCGCTATGGGGCTGCCCCATAGGTCTGGGGATGGGGAGGAGGGGTGCTATGGGGCTGCCCCATAGATGTGGGGCTGGGGGGGCGCTATGGGGCTGCCCCATAGACGTGGGGCTGGCCCTGAGCCCCATCTCCCCCCCCCCTTCCAGACGCGGCACTTTGGGGCCCAGCCGAGCTATGGGGCAGGGGGGGAGCACGGAAGCTTCCAGGGGGCGCAGGGGGGGCCGGGCCCCTTCGCTGTGGGGCAGAGCCAGCACCCGTTCCCCCCCGGGCAGCCCGGGCCTGTCAGCTACGGAGCCTCGCAGCAGATCCGAGGTGGGGGGCGCTATGGGGCAGGGGGGAGGTGCTATGGGGTGCTATGGGGCAGGGGGGAGGTGCTATGGGGCAGGGGGAGGTGCTATGGGGCAGGGGGGAGATGCTATGGGGAAGAGAGGAGGTGCTATGGGGCAGGGGGGAGATGCTATGGGGCAGGGGGGAGGTGCTATGGGGCAGGGGGGAGGTGCTATGGGGCAGGGGGGAGATGCTATGGGGAAGAGAGGAGGTGCTATGGGGCATGTGGGGGGGAGATGCTATGGGGCAGGGGGAGGTGCTATGGGGCAGGGGGGAGATGCTGTGGGGTGCTATGGGGAAGAGGGGAGATGCTATGGGGTGCTATGGGGCAGGGGGAGGTGCTATGGGGCAGGGGAGAGATGCTATGGGGTTCTATGGGGAAGAGAGGAGGTGCTATGGGGCAGAGGGGAGGTGCTATGGGGCAGGGGGAGGTGCTATGGGGTGCTATGGGGCAGAGTGGAGGTGCTGTGGGGCAGGGGGAGGTGCTATGGGGCAGAGTGGAGGTGCTATGGGGCAGCCATGGGGCACGTATGGAGCTGTTAGGGGCTCTATGGGGTCTCTATGTGTCTCTATGTGTCTCTATGGGTCTCTATGGGTCCCTATGGGTCCCTATGGGTCTCTGTCGCCCCCTACAGGCCCGGCGGCCTTCCCAGCGCTCCCGTTCCTGCCCCAGCAGCAGCCGGGGGGCGGCTTCGGCCTCCACGGGCACTTCCCGGCGCAGACAGGTGGGGATGGGGCTGAGCCCCATAGAGAGCCCTGCCCCATGGATGTGGGGCTGAGCCCCATAGAGAGCCCTGCCCCATAGATGTGGGGCTGAGCCCCATAGAGAGCCCTGCCCCATAGATGTGGGGGGGCTGAGCCCTGCCCCCCATAGAGAGCCCTGCCCCATGGATGTGGGGCTGAGCCCCATAGAGAGCCCTGCCCCATAGATGTGGGGCTGAGCCCCATAGAGAGCCCTGCCCCATGGATGTGGGGCTGAGCCCCATAGAGAGCCCTGCCCCATAGATGTGGGGCTGAGCCCCATAGAGAGCCCTGCCCCATGGATGTGGGGCTGAGCCCCATAGAGAGCCCTGCCCCATAGATGTGGGGCTGAGCCCCATAGAGAGCCCTGCCCCATAGATGTGGGGCTGAGCCCCATAGAGAGCCCTGCCCCATGGATGTGGGGCTGAGCCCCATAGAGAGCCCTGCCCCATAGATGTGGGGCTGAGCCCCATAGAGAGCCCTGCCCCATAGATGTGGGGCTGAGCCCCATAGAGAGCCCTGCCCCATAGATGTGGGGCTGAGCCCCATAGAGAGCCCTGCCCCATAGATGTGGGGCTGAGCCCCATAGAGAGCCCTGCCCCATGGATGTGGGGCTGAGCCCCATAGAGAGCCCTGCCCCATAGATGTGGGGCTGAGCCCCATAGAGAGCCCTGCCCCATAGATGTGGGGCTGAGCCCCATAGAGAGCCCTGCCCCATAGATGTGGGGCTGAGCCCCATAGAGAGCCCTGCCCCATAGATGTGGGGCTGAGCCCCATAGAGAGCCCTGCCCCATAGATGTGGGGCTGAGCCCCATAGAGAGCCCTGCCCCATAGATGTGGGGCTGAGCCCCATAGAGAGCCCTGCCCCATAGATGTGGGGCTTAGAGAGCCCTGCCCCATAGATGTGGGGCTGAGCCCCATAGAGAGCCCTGCCCCATAGATGTGGGGCTGAGCCCCATAGAGAGCCCTGCCCCATAGATGTGGGGCTGAGCCCCCCATTAGAGAGCCCTGCCCCATAGATGTGGGGCTGAGCCCCATAGAGAGCCCTGCCCCATAGATGTGGGGCTGAGCCCCTTCCATTGCCCTGCCCCATAGATGTGGGGCTGAGCCCCCTCCATTGCCCTGCCCCATAGATGTGGGGCTGAGCCCCATAGAGAGCCCTGCCCCATAGATGTGGGGCTGAGCCCCCTAGATGTGGGGCTGAGCCCCCTCCATTGCCCTGCCCCATAGATGTGGGGCTGAGCCCCATGCATTGCCCTGCCCCATAGATGTGGGGCTGAGCCCCCTCCATTGCCCTGCCCCACACCTGTGGGTCTGACCCCTTTCCTCCCCCCCCAGGGTTCCTGCCCCCCCCCAGCAGCACCATCCCCCTGCAGAAGCAGCTGGAGCACGCCAACAGCCAATCAGGATTCAGCGATGCCGTGAGCGGGGCGGGGCTATGGGGCTGGGATTGAGGCTATGGGGCAGCGGTGGGGCTATGGGGGATGGATCTATGGGGCAGGGCTATGGAGGTGGTTGGGGGGGATGGGGCAGGACCATGGCAGCGGGGGGGGGCAATGTGGCACGCTATGGGGCAGGGCTACGGGGGATGGATCTATGGGGCAGGGCTATGGGGGGATGGATCCATGGGGTAGGGGTCTAAGGGGGACGGATCTATGGGGCAGGGCTATGTGGGGATGGATCCATGGGGGTAGGATCTATGGGGCAGGGGTCCAAGAGGGATGGATCTATGGGGCAGGGCTATGGAGGTGGTTGGGGGGGATGGGGCAGGACTATGGCAGTGGGGGGGGCAATGTGGCACGCTATGGGGCAGGGCTACGGGGGATGGATCTATGGGGCTGGGATATGGGGGAGGGGTCTAAGGAGGATGGATCTATGGGGCAGGGCAATGGGGGGATGGATCCATGGGGGCAGGATCTATGGGGCAGGGATATGGGGGGGAGGGATCCATGGGGGCAGGATCTATGGGGCAGGGGTCCAAGGGGGATGAATCTATGGGGCAGTGCTATGGCGGGATGGATCCATGGGGGCAGGGTCTATGGGGCAGGGGTCCAAGAGGGATGGATCTTTGGGGCACGGGTCCAAGGGGGATGAGTCTATGGGGCAGTGCTATGGGGGGATGGATCTATGGGGGAGGGGTCCAAGGGGGATGGATCTATGGGGCAGGGCAATGGGGGGATGGATCCATGGGGGTAGGATCTATGGGGCAGGGATATGGGGGGGATGGATCCATGGGGGTAGGATCTATGGGGCAGGGGTCCAAGAGGGATGGATCTATGGGGCAGGCTATGGGGCAGGGCTATGGAGGTGGTTGGGGGGCATGGGGCAGGACTATGGCAGCGGGGGGGGCAATGTGGCACGCTATGGGGCAGGGCTACGGGGGATGGATCTATGGGGCTGGGATATGGGGCAGGGCAATAGGGGGATGGATCCATGGGGGAGGGGTCTAAGGGGGACGGATCTATGGGGCAGGGCAATGGGGGGATGGATCCATGGGGGCAGGATCTATGGGGGGGTGGATCCATGGGGGTAGGATCTATGGGGCAGGGGTGCAAGGGGGATGAATCTATGGGGCAGTGCTATGGGGGGATGGATCTATGGGGCAGGGATATGGGGGGGAGGGATCCATGGGGGCAGGGTCTATGGGGCAGGGATATGGGGGGTATGGATCCATGGGGGTAGGATCTATGGGGCAGGGGTCCAAGAGGGATGGATCTATGGGGGAAGGCTATGGGGGGCATGGATCCATGGGGGCAGGGTCTATGGGGGGGTGGATCCATGGGGGCAGGATCTATGGGGCAGGGGTCCAAGGGGGATGGATCTATGGGGCAGTGCTATGGGGGGATGGATCTATGGGGCAGGGGTCCAAGGGGGATGGATCTATGGGGCAGGGCAAGGGGGGATGGATCCATGGGGGCAGGGTCTATGGGGGGGGTGGATCCATGGGGGCAGGATCTATGGGGCAGGGGTGCAAGGAGGATGAATCTATGGGGCAGGGCAATGGGGGGATGGATCCATGGGGGCAGGATCTATGGGGCAGGGATATGGGGGGAGGGATCCATGGGGGCAGGATCTATGGGGCAGGGGTGCAAGGGGGATGAATCTATGGGGCAGTGCTATGGGGGGATGGATCTATGGGGCAGGGCAATGGGAGGATGGATCCATGGGGCAGGGCAATGGGGGGATGGATCCATGGGGGCAGGGTCTATGGGGGGGTGGATCCATGGGGGCAGGGTCTATGGGGTAGGGGTCCAAGGGGAATGGATCTATGGGGCAGGGCTATGGAGGAATGGATCCATGGGGGCAGGATCTATGGGGCCGGGCAATGGGGGGATGGATCCATGGGGGCAGGATCTATGGGGCAGGGATATGGGGGGATGGATCCATGGGGGCAGGGTCTATGGGGCAGGGGTCCAAGAGGGATGGATCTATGGGGCAGGGCTATGGGGGGCATGGATCCATGGGGGCAGAGTCTTTGGGGGGGGTGGATCCATGGGGGTAGGATCTATGGGGCAGGGGTGCAAGGGGGATGGATCTATGGGGCAGGGCAATGGGGGGATGGATCCATGGGGGTAGGATCTATGGGGCAGGGGTCCAAGAGGGATGGATCTATGGGGCAGGCTATGGGGCAGGGCTATGGAGGTGGTTGGGGGGCATGGGGCAGGACAATGGCAGTGGGGGGGGCAATGTGGCACGCTATGGGGCAGGGCTACAGGGGATGGATCTATGGGGCTGGGATATGGGGCAGGGCAATGGGGGGATGGATCCATGGGGGAGGGTCTAAGGGGGACGGATCTATGGGGCAGGGCAATAGGGGGATGGATCCATGGGGGCAGGATCGATGGGGCAGGGCTATGGGGGGGGATGGATCCATGGGGGCAGGATCTATGGGGCAGGGGTCCAAGGGGGATGAATCTATGGGGCAGTGCTATCAGGGAAGGGGG